GTCATTGCTGTAAACAACCGATGCTCGAAAGGCGGGATCCAAGAGTCAATGCTCGATCCTGCAAGCACATATAGGTGAGTACATATAGGTGAGTACACACACACACACACACACACACACATATATATATATGCGGAAATATATATATATTGTGACGATAATCTCTTTCAAGAGAGATTGAGCCTGCTCTTCCCTCCAAAGTACGTTACAACAACAGATAATATAGAAGATATATCCAGCAAGTATCTCCAAAACGTTTTGGCCAGAGAGCAAAACGTATCCAGCACACCGGCACACCTGCTCGCCGCCACCACCACCGTAAACCGGCAAACTGCTTGTCCATCGCCTGCCTGTCGCTGATTGGCTGGTGTCCCGTCGCACCTGCCTTCCACCCTCCGCCACTAGTTGATGTCTGGGCTGCAGCGACCCAGAGAAGGCAGAATATTCCAGTGCTCCTTGCAGTTGACATCTCTCATTGGTAGACTAAGCCTTGGCTTTCGTGTACTAAGGGAGGTGGCAGCTCGAAGCCAATATTCCGGCATCATCATTATTATTTACTTTGCTATTACTCACTTGTCTTAACGTAACTTTTCATTTGCCAGTGATTATTCTTATTATTTTGTTTGTTGACTTGTCTCTTATATTTTATACTTAATTTTATTCATGTCTTGTTTTTCTAACGTAATTAAAATTGCATTGTTAAATTTACTTGTGTTTTGTGTATCTTCCCATTACCTTACCACAGACGAAAGTTCCAGTTTTTCTCTTTTTTTTATTTATGTGACGAGGCCCTGCCCCTAGCTTTTGAAACAGCCGAACACCAACGCTTTACCGTCACAATATATATATATATATATATATATATATATATATATATATATATATATATATATATATATATATATATATATATATATATATATGCATGCGAACAAGCCTGAACGGTCTCCAGGCATATATGCAACTGAAAATTCACACCCTGCATCAGGAATCTGTATATCAGTTGATTGACAGTTGAGAGGCGGGACCAAAGAGCCAGAGCTCAACCCCCCACAAGCACAATTAGGTGAGTACACACAGGTGTCTGCCCGCACACAGGTGTCTGCCCGCACACAGGTGTCTGTCCACACACAGATGTCTGCCCGCACACAGGTGACTGCCCGCACACAGGTGTCTGTCCACACACAGATGACTGCCCGCACACAGGTGTCTGCCCACACACAGGTGCCTGCCCGCACACAGGTGTCTGCCCGCACACAGGTGTCTGTCCACACACAGATGTCTGCCCGCACACAGGTGTCTGCCCGCACGCAGGTGTCTGCCTACACACAGGTGCCTGCCCGCACACAGGTGTCTCCCCGCACACAGGTGTCTCCCCGCACACAGGTGTCTGCCCGCACACAGGTGTCTGCCCGCACACAGGTGTCTCCCCGCACACAGGTGTCTCCCCGCACACAGGTGTCTTCCTGCACTATTGACTTTGACAAACCGAAAAATTATTTGTTACTTATGTTGCAAAGACAAACTAAACTCACGTATCCTAACCCTTCTAGGCCTAATACACGATATCTGAGGCCTAATACACGATATCTGAGGCCTAATACATGATATCTGAGGCCTAATACATGATATCTGAGGCCTAATACACGATATCTGAGGCCTAATACATGATATCTGAGGCCTAATACACGATATCTGAGGCCTAATACATGATATCTGAGGCCTAATACATGATATCTGAGGCCTAATACACGATATCTGAGGCCTAATACACGATATCTGAGGCCTAATACATGATATCTGAGGCCTAATACACGATATCTGAGGCCTAATACACGATATCTGAGGCCTAATACATGATATCTGAGGCCTAATACATGATATCTGAGGCCTAATACACGATATCTGAGGCCTAATACATGATATCTGAGGCCTAATACACGATATCTGAGGCCTAAAACACGATATCTGAGGCCTAATACACGATATCTGAGGCCTAATACACGATATCTGAGGCCTAATACACGATATCTGAGGCCTAATACACGATATCTGAGGCCTAATACACGATATCTGAGGCCTAATACACGATATCTGAGGCCTAATACACGATATCTGAGGCCTAATACACGATATCTGAGGCCTAATACACGATATCTGAGGCCTAATACACGATATCTGAGGCCTAATACACGATATCTGAGGCCTAATACATGATATCTGAGGCCTAATACATGATATCTGAGGCCTAATACACGATATCTGAGGCCTAATACATGATATCTGAGGCCTAATACACGATATCTGAGGCCTAATACATGATATCCGAGGCCTAATGCATGATATCTGAGGCCTAATACACGATATCTGAGGCCTAATATGCGATATCTGAGGCCTAATATACGATATCTGAGGTCTAATATACGATATCTGAGGTCTAATATACGATATCTGAGGTCTAATATACGATATCTGAGGCCTAATACACGATATCTGAGGCCTAATACATGATATCTGAGGCCTAATACACGATATCTGAGGCCTAATACACGATATCTGAGGCCTAATACACGATATCTGAGGCCTAATATAGTACGTATGTGTGCTATACTTGGCACAGGAATATTTTATTTTTTTATCTTCATTTAGTTTTAAAGAATTCCTTACTAGTCAGTATATTAATATCCAAAAACTAAGTACGTACGAATTCGTGACTATTGACGAATGTCACAATAGATACTATCTAAACAGGAGGATGAGTTGATATATAAACACAATGCTTTGTTGACGTACAGTGTGTGGGTCTGAGAGGGGCTTCGAGGAAGCACAAGCAGACATCGTTATGCAAGCCCCTTGGGAGCAGCCTTTAGCCATCCCTGCCAGCAGACTTTAAGATTATGGCTCTTGAGGGAAAATAATCCCAATCTCCTACGCATTCCACCCCCAGGAAGCAGCCCGTGACAGCTGACTAACACCCAGGTACCTATTTACTGCTAGGTAACAGGGGCATAGGGTGAAAGAAACTCTGCCCATTGTTTCTCGCCGGCGCCTGGGATCGAAGAAGGACCACAGGATCAGAAGACCAGCCTGCTGTCCGCTCGGCCTACCGGCTCCCCCGGCATTATTGGACAGATGGATATAGCAGCAAAACTGATAGCTTCACATACTTAACAGATGGATCAGTAGAGCAGCAGAGACAAGAAACCAGCGCTGCAGTTATGGCTGGAAATTCTGTAGTTAGTTGGTGATTCTCAAACGGGTGTTTAACTTTACAGAGATGCTAGCCATTCAAAAGGTTTTGGAACATGCTCTTGCTGAACACCGATAACATGTTATCATATATACAGATTCGAGAACTGCCATTGAAATCTTGCAACAAGAACACATACATGATAACATCCATCTGATCACAAATGTCATATCATTAATGCAAACGACAAGGCCGACGGGTACTTATCAACTGGGTGCCAAGTCATGTGGGAATAATAAAAAATGACATTGCAGACGAAGCTGCAACTAAGAGAAGAAATGTAGACATTTACATACCACAGAGTCTATCATAGATAAAGAAAGTAATTAGAAATAGAGCAATGTAAAAGATGTACAGTGACCACAACACAGCAGTTGCAACATCAGGATCTGCGGGTTGTACAAGAATTCAACCAACTACGAACCACTTAGTTTGATGAAAGGGAGCAGTAGAGCAACAGAAGTACACTTACATCGCATCAGGCTTGGATACCCATGTGCATGGGAAATAGGCTTATAGGATCCGGAAGATGAGAGGAAATGTCAGCACTGTGGAGAAATGCCCGACAGACCACTGGAACATTATCTAACACAGTGCAGAGTTATAGCCACAACAGACCTATGGAACATTATCTAACACAGTGCACAGTTACAGCCACAACAGACCTATGGAACATTATCTAACACAGTGCACAAACCCAATACGATTAATACCGCGATTTAACAGATCCAAAGAAATTGTTAAACACATTGGACATCATCTTACTGAAGCGATCATTAGAGTCGTAAATGCTTATGTGCCTATTTGGAAAATGAATTTCCATTTTCTAGTACGGCAATTTGTGGCCGTAACGCATACGAACGAAAAGCGCCGTTCTTTGTAAGAGGCCAGGTTCCCCTGAGAGTCGCTTGCGAGGGTCCGCGGCTAGGAATGGAGGACCAATAACTCCATCTAGAGATTTTAGTACGAAATTTTGCAGGCAGGCTTGTGTTGGTGAGAGAGTTGGTAGTGTTGACATGGTTGCTGGGGTCCTACACAGCCTGGACCTGAACATGTTTTCTCTTGAGCCACCCTCCATACCTGGACTAATGTCTATATGAACCCTTTCCCCCTGGACCAATTCCTTCACGTGAGCACTTGCCTATAATGTAATTTGCTCTTGGGTTCTTAACTTAAAAAAAATTGTGTCAATATCTACATGATACACAAATATTCTTCGAAAAGTAATCAGGAGAATGTCAGTAAATGGTCATGATGGCCCGAGGTCCATGAGGCGACCCCATCAACCACTCCGTCCTGAGGCAGACTAAATTAAAAATTGATTCCTGGGAGGCTCATGTCTTAGGGTCAATTTATAGTATTGTCGTGTGTGAAGGTGATCACTGGGTGGAGAGCCGGGCATAGAGTTTATGTGGCCCGTGGGCGGGGTGGGCGGAGTCTGGGCTGACACGCACATATGGGCGGAGTCCAGGCTGTCACCCACCCGTGGGCGGGGTGGGCGGAGTCCAGACTGTCACCCACCCGTGGGCGGGGTGGGCGGAGTCCAGACTGTCACCCACCCGTGGGGTGGGGTGGGCGGAGTCCAGGCTGTCACCCACCCGTGGGCGGGGTGGGCGGAGTCCAGGCTGTCACCCACCCGGGGGCGGGGTGGGTGGAGTCTAGGCTGTCACCCACCCGTGGGCGGGGTGGGCGGAGTCCAGGCTGTCACCCACCCGGGGGCGGGGTGGGTGGAGTCTAGGCTGTCACCCACCCGTGGGCGGGGTGGGCGGAGTCCATCCTGGCAACCATACACAATTCACCCTCGTCCACGGTAGTCAACTCACCCTGCTCCATGATGAACAACTCATCCTGGCCCACACTAGACAACTCATTCTGGCCCACACTAGACAACTCATCCTGGCCCACACTAGACAACTCATCCTGGCCCACACTAGACAACTCATCCTGACCCACTCTGGACAACTTATCGTGGCACACGCTTGACAACTCATGATGGTTAATGCGTGACAACATATCCTGGTCAATCATGGCCTAATCATGATCTAATTCATCCTGGCCTACTTGCCTAATCATGGTCCATGTTAAACATCTTATCCTGGCCCACACAAGACAACTCATTACGGTCCATATTTTTTTTGTGTGTGATTTTGAGGGAAGTAAGGAAGATAGAGGATAGATAAGTTAAGATAGCGGCGGGTTGTCCACCTTGCTGACACTAGGCGGGCTGTCTGCCTTGCTGACACCAGGCAGGCTGTCCACCTTGCTGAAACTAGGTGGGCTGTCCGCCTTGCTGACACTAGGCGGGCTGTCCACCTTGCTGACACCAGGCGGGCTGTCCGCCTTGCTGACACTAGGCGGGCTGTCCGCCTTGCTGACACCAGGCGGGCTGTCCACCTTGCTGACACCAGGCGGGCTGTCCGCCTTGCTGACACTAGGCGGGCTGTCCGCCTTGCTGACACCAGGCGGGCTGTCCACCTTGCTGACACCAGGCGGGTTGTCCACCTTGCTGACACCAGGCGGACTGTCCACCTTGCTGACACCAGGCGGGCTGTCCGCCTTGCTGACACCAGGCGGGCTGTCCACCTTGCTGACACCAGGCAGGCTGTCCACCTTGCTGACACGATGTGTGGGTGTTGGCAGCTAAGCTAAGCTGGCTCCCTCTTGTCAGGGAGCTGTGAGTGTGCGAGAGGTTAATTCTTCACATGTGTTTCAACACATATATGGATGTCCATATATGAATACTGAGTAGCATTCATATACACTCCGGCGCTTTCACACATGTTTTATTATTATCATTATTATTACTATTATTGTTATTTTTTTGAAAGAGGGGGGGGGGTGATTAGGGGTTTCAGTATTTCATCAAGGAGTAATGTCTTGTGGGGATTGGCTTATGTGAAGTACCTTGAGGCTTCTGGACCCCCCAGCTGTGAGAGTGGGGGAAGCTTATTCCGGCCCATGCTGGACAAGTCCTGGCCCATGCTGGACAAGTCCTGGTCCATGCTGGACAAGTCCTGGTCCATGCTGGACAAGTCCTGGCCCATGCTGAATATGTCCTGGCCAAGTCCTGGCCCTGCTGGTTAAGTCTTTGCCCTTGCTAGATAAGTCATAGACCATGCTGGACAAGTCCTGGCCCATGCTGGACAAGTCCTGGTCCATGCTGGACAAGTCCTGGTCCATGCTGGACAAGTCCTGGCCCATGCTGGACAAGTCCTGGTCCATGCTGGACAAGTCCTGGTCCATGCTGGACAAGTCCTGGTCCATGCTGGACAAGTCCTGGTCCATGCTGGACAAGTCCTGGCCCATGCTGGACATGTCCTGGCCCATGCTGGACATGTCCTGGCCCATGCTGGACATGTCCTGGCCCATGCTGGATAAATCCTGGAATCAGCAGGTCCATTGTTTATCACAATGAAATGTGTTAAGTAAAACATGTGTATGGGGCAAGTAACAAAGTAAGTAGACTAACAGACGTTATCACAGCTCGAATAAGACTTGGCTACAAGTATCTCTGGAAATTCGGCTTGCAGAGGGATCTAGATGAAGTAAAGTGTAAAGTATGTGGACAAAGACAGGGACACACACACTCGAACACTATATCTTGGATTGTAGTAAAATTGAGCCACTTAGAGATAAATCTAAGCTCACGCTGTATGATATGGCAACCTATCTTATTACTAACGATAAAATACCTGTAAACCTTGCACTGTATCCATATTTTGCTCTCAGTAGGTGAACGACATATGAGATTAAGAAACAAGTAGTGTATTGTGAAGACTAATAACAAACAGCAGCTCCTCTATGTCTCTGTAATATCTCCATTGCTCAAACAGTTATGTATTAGAGATAAGACCTACCATTAATATGTAATGACTTACTGTAAATATATAGCTCTTGAAATAGAACATTCTCTGTAACTAGCTGACATTGTAATTATAAGGTGTGAAGGATACATGAAATTGTTTATGTAATAATCTCCGTTGAGGTGTAATAAAGACATTTTGTGCCCTCTGTAATTCTTTTTGCGCTACCGCTCACAGGATGAGTATGGGGTGCATAATAAACTAGCTGCCTCTGGCGGCAACAATCAAACAATCTTCATCATTCAATCACTAGCAACTCCTCATAAATACTGTCAAGCAGTATCCTACCCCAAGATAGCAGCCACACAGTAAGGACTGACAATTTAAATGCGCCCTCAGCGCACAGTATATATCCATTCACGATGAACGATCACATTCACTCCAATCATCTACCACTTAAGGGCTGCTCATGTCCGTGCCGTCGCTTGGGTGGCTTAATCTTCATCAATCAATCAATCAACTAGTAACCATTCGAACACTGCCGTTGATAATGTTAACAAGGGTTATCGAAACGCAAATCTTGGCGTCAGTCCTTAATGGATAGCATCAGAAACTAATGGGGCCTAGCGGTCTGAATTGACAAAAGATAGGCGGAGAAGGGCGGAGGGTTTCGGAATTGAAGGATGAAGAAAATATCAGGATATAGGAAGAGAGTAGACAGCTTAATTATTTCCGACTTCCTGTCCTCACTACTGGCAATAAACAGTTTGCAATCAAGTAATATCGTGCTTGTCTCAGAAGCCAGACGTAGATATATAAACATACTTAGCAAGAGGGTAAATATAAAAATGTGGATTCCTTCTCACATTGGCCTGTAGGAACATGATAAAGTTGACGCCCTTGCTAAGGCTGCAGTAAATAAAGACAGTGTTGAACGGAATCTTGAGTTATCAAATAGGTCCCTTAAAAGTGTCATTAGACGAGAACTCCTGGATGAATTTGAAGAAAGTAGAACAGTGCAAACTGGAACTAGCAGGTCCATTGTTTATCACAATGAAATGTGTGAAGTAAAACATGTGTATGGGGCAAGTAACAAAGTCAGTAGACTAACAGATGTTATCACAGCTCGTATAAGACTTGGCTACAAGTATCTCTGGCAGTTCAGCTTGTATAGAGATCTAGATGAGGTAAAGTGTAAAGTGTGTGGACAAAGACTGGGACACACACTCGAACACTATATCTTGGTTTGTAGTAAAATTGAGCCATGTAGAGATAAATCTAAGCTCACTCTGTATGATATGGCAACCTATCTTATTGCCAAGGATAATATACCTGAAATCCTTGCACTGTATCCATATTTCGCTCCCAGTAGATAAATGACATACGAGATTATGAAACTCATTATTGTGAAGACTAATAATAAACAGCAGCTTCTTTATGACTGTAATATCTTCATTGCTTAAACAATTATGTATTAGCGATAAGACCTACAATTAATGTATAATGACTTACTGTAAATATATAGTTCTTGAAATCATCCTCTGTAACTAGCTGACATGTAACTATAAGGTGTGAAGGATAGATGAAATTGTTTATGTAATATTCTAAGTTGAGGTCTGATAAAGACCTTTTGTGCCCTCTGTAATGATTTTGCGCTACCGCTCACAGGATGAGTATGGGGTGCACAATAAACTACCGCTCGCAGGATGAGTAAGGGGTGCACAATAAACTACCGCTCGCAGGATGAGTAAGGGGTGCACAATAAACTACCGCTCGCAGGATGAGTATGGGGTGCACAATAAACTACCGCTCGCAGGATGAGTAAGGGGTGCACAATAAACTACCGCTCGCAGGATGAGTAAGGGGTGCACAATAAACTACCGCTCACAGGATGAGTATGGGGTGCACAATAAACTACCGCTCGCAGGATGAGTATGGGGTGCACAATAAACTACCGCTCGCAGGATGAGTATGGGGTGCACAATAAACTACCGCTCGCAGGATGAGTATGGGGTGCACAATAAACTACCGCTCGCAGGATGAGTATGGGGTGCACAATAAACTACCGCTCGCAGGATGAGTAAGGGGTGCACAATAAACTACCGCTCGCAGGATGAGTATGGGGTGCACAATAAACTACCGCTCGCAGGATGAGTATGGGGTGCACAATAAACTACCGCTCGCAGGATGAGTATGGGGTGCACAATAAACTACCGCTCGCAGGATGAGTATGGGGTGCACAATAAACTACCGCTCGCAGGATGAGTATGGGGTGCACAATAAACTACCGCTCACAGGATGAGTATGGGGTGCACAATAAACTACCGCTCACAGGATGAGTATGGGGTGCACAATAAACTACCGCTCGCAGGATGAGTATGGGGTGCACAATAAACTACCGCTCGCAGGATGGGTATGGGGTGCACAATAAACTAGCCTCTTCCGGCTGCCACAATATAAAAAAAGGAGCAAGGTTAGTCAAATTTGGAGAAGAAAGGGGTGGAGGATTGGGGCTAGGGTAGGCTGAGGCTTGGATGGTGGGTGAAATGAAATGGATATGAAAGGTTGATTAACTACAGGGATTGGGAAGAGGATGGAAGTCGGTTGAAGAATGCTGGAAGGTGATAAATTGGGGGTGAGCGCGAAGGAGGGTGAAGGAAGGACTTGAGAAACATATGCTAGTGGAGGCCCTGGAAACACAAACCGAAACTGTCTCTATTTTCCGCTTGTTACAACTTGTAATAAAGTTGCTACATCTTGGCTTAACGTGTTTATGACGTATTAGAACGTTGTTACAACTTGCTATATTGGTTGTTACAACTGGTTAGGAGGTGCTAAAACTTGTTCGAACGTTGTACCAACGTCGTAGTTTCGGTGTGTGTTTGGCGGGGATCGAGAGGGTGAATTGGCGTACTGGTGTTGGAAGAGGATGGTTGAAAGAAGGTAGGAAGAGTATATGAGGTACAGTAGACGTACCGGTGGGTGAAGAGCAGGGAGAGGAAAGTAGGGAGAGTGTGAGAGGTGCAGTAGACGTACCGGTGGTGGAAGAGGAGGGAGAGGAAAGTAGGGAGAGTGTGAGAGGTGCAGTAGACGTACCGGTGGTGGAAGAGGAGGGAGAGGAAGGAAGGGAGAGTGTGAAGTGCACTGAGGCGCAGTAAACAAACCAACAGTTGCTTGCCCCAGCGCCGTCTCTGTTTATATAACAAATACTTCCCACGGTCGCCC